AGGGTGGCGACGGCAGTGCAACGACGAAATGAATTTAATGCCACTGAACTTAAAAATGGTTAGAATGGTAAAGTTTATGTAATGTGTATCTTCCTCACAGCAACATAACCAAACAAACCAACAAACAAACCAACTCCCTCCCAAAACAGGTAGTATCATTATCATCCCATTTCACAAATGAGGAAGCTGATGCTGAGAAAGGTTAAACAACTTGCCCAAGGTCACGGTGGCTACTGGGACAGAGTGGATCTGAACTTAGGCTCGCATCATCAGGCCACCAGAAGCACAAAGTCTGGTTCTAGCCTGGAAAGGAGAGCATAGAAGGAGCTGGAAACCACAGGGTAACAGAGCCAAGGGCAGCAAAGGATCCAAGGAACGGGACGAGGAGGTGGGAGAAACTCAGGTGAGGCTCCCTGACTTGGGTCCTGTCCCCTCAGTCTCAACCTTGGTCCAGTCCCTGTTCTGCCTGTAATCAGCTGTGGCACATCTAAAATGAGGATCCCTCATTTTAGTCCACTATCACAGCACCTTGCCCAGCTCTCCCGCAAAGTCACCACACAAAGACCCGCCTCTGGGCCAATGGCATTCTCTTCCCTTGCCTGAGCACACACCTCCCTCCTCTACCAGCCCAAGCCCCACTTCCTCCCAGGAAACTTGCAAGATAACCCAGCCCTTTGCTTTACTGGATGTATGCACAGAGGAAGACAGAACCAGCCACAGCCTCTTGTAAGCAGCAGGGAGAAAGTAAGTCAGCAGGGCCAGGGCAGAGCTGTCAGGAGAGGGAAAGGCAGAGTACGAGGGCAGACGGAGGAGAGAAGTTCCCCCTCGCTCACCTCCCCACACCTGCCCACGGGGCCAGAGCCCAGGCTTGGCTACAGGAGGTCAGAATGACCAGCATGTCAGTGCCAGGGCAAAGGTCACACAGTGACGGGGCAAAAATGAAAGCAGCCATGAGCAGGAGAGGGCTCACAGCCCTGGCCCAGGAGCCAGTCCACAGTGTGGGAAGCTGGGCTCAGAAATAACAGGCGCTAATCTGTCCTCGGCTCAGCGTGTCATCTGCACGTCTGCCTGGCCACGGTCGGCATGCTGCTCTGGGTGCACCAGACCAGGGCTGGGAAGAGGCATACTGCTGTCCTCAGAGTCCGCAGGTCCAGACCCACCTCTGGGCATCCCAGAGCCAGTGTGTTCTTCCGCCCACCTGAGCCTGCTTCCTGCTTGTTCTCAGCTCCCACCCTGTGCCCCACCGGGCTGGCCCACCTGGAAAACAACTGATGGTCTCTGGATGTGGGAAGTGGGGGAGTGTAAGACCAGGGCTCTCGGGGACTCTGGCACAGAAGGAAGGGTCTCCAAAGGAAGATGAGCAGACAGCGGGCAGCAGCCTCAGTGAGATGATGCCTGAGTCAGCTTGGCAGCTTGTCCCTCTTCCTCTGCCTCCCTGGGGCCCATCCCACACACTGGGGCTGAGCTCAGAACTATATATACCTCCCAGCTGGACCAGAGCGCCTGCTGAGAGCCTTTCCATCAACTCCCTACACAGTCGTGCCTTGGCCCAGACCCCATGCCTGGTAAGAGGAGATGAGGATAAGGCAGCGTCTGAACTCCAGCAGAATCTGTACTCACGTAGGACAGGTGCTATGGGGGCTGGGAGAGGCATCGAACACTGCTGAGCAGCCTCCAGCCCCTGCCCAGAGCCTGACCCACCTGGGGCTGGGGCTGGGGCTAAGCAGGAGGCCAGGCAGGGGAGAAGAAGGGAGCAGGTGGGAAGCTTTGTACAGCTCAACGGGAGAGCACTGTGCGAGGTGGTAGGAGAGCCGGGTTCCAGCCCTGGCTCTCTCACTGACTACCTGAGAGAGTCTGGGAGAGACTCTGGGCCTTCCTAAGCTTCTCTCTGCCTCTGCAAGCAGAGGTTATAACTCCTCTCCCTCTCTCAAAAAGATTAAAGAGATAATGGATGTCAGAGGCCACTGAGTGCTCCTGTCTTAGCATAATCAAGGGAATCCTAGCCTCAGCCTCTCTCCTTCTCCCGGGTCCTCTCTGTTCCATCCCCTCACCCCATGCCCCTCCTTGTCCTTCTGCACAGGGGACACCAACATGGCCAGGACAGTTTGCCAAACACCGTTTTACCCAGCTCCACCCCCCCCCCCCCCCTCCCCCCACACCAACTCAACAGCTTTCCTCCTGCCAAACAGTTCTAGCCCGAGGCCTACCAGAAGCCCAAGGCTTGGATTCACCAAACCCTGGCTCCGTCACAATCATCTGGTGACTGAAGATAAAGTCTCTTAATCCAATTCCTTTACAGCTAAAGTGAGGATAGAAATATCTCCCCGTAACAACTACATAGAACTAAGATCCACCCAAATGTCCATCAACAGATAATGAATAAACAAAATGTGGTCTATCCGTACAATGGAATGTTATTTAATCTTAAAAAGGAGGGAAATTCTGACACACGACAGCATGGGTAAACCATGAGGACATTATTCTAAGTGAAATAAGCCCAAAACAAAAAAGATAAATACTGTATGACTCCTCGTATATGAGCAGAGTGGTAGTTGCTAAGGGCTGGGGAAGGGGTGGACGAGTTCATCTGTAACAGGTGCAGAGGTTCAGCTGGGGACGATAAAAGAGACCTGGACGTGAATGGTGGTGATGGCTGCACAACAATGGGACTGTACTTCATGCCACCGAACTGTATGCTAATGGTTAAAAAGAAACATTATGTATATTTTGCCATACTCACACAAAAAGAAACAGCTCAGCACCCAGAGCCTGGTGCAGTGTGGTACTCAGATAAATGTCAGCTGACTCTGCCACACACTGCCCTCCCCATGGGCCTTCCCAGATACCTGCAGCAACCTCAGCTCTCTCGCTGCAAAGTGTGTCCTGGGCTTCCCAACCAGCTAAACTACATGCTCTCTCCTGCACACCCCTTGCCCCTCTCACCTCCGCTCATGATCGACACCATCCACTCTCCACCAAAGTAGCAGGAATTGCCTAGGGTCTGAGAGCCTCTGGCCCTCATCAGCTCCACAGGGATGACCTATGTAAAGCACCCAATCCCACACCGGGCATGTAACAGGTGCTCCATACGTATCAGTTCTCTCCTCCACGAAGCTTCCATAGGGCCAAAAGTGAGAAGCAACCATCAGGAAAGGAAACAGTTAGAGCAGGGGTGGTACAGGGCGCTGACGCAGGGCATGGGTGCCCACAAAAGTAAGAGAGGCTCTGCGGGAACCGAGCAAGCCGCAGCAGTAGGATGGTAAGAGGTAAGCAGTTTTACTTATTGGTGACTGAGGAGCAAACCTAGGGCCGAGGTCAAAAGGAACTTGCTCGCCCAATAGGCAAAGTAAAAAGAAGACCTCATTTTGGCCTTGCAGGGAATGTTGTAGGTTAAAGCATAATGCAGAAGAGGCTGTGAGGGCTCCATGACTCGCTGGCCAGTAATAAACCAGGGGAAAGGGGAAAGGAGGGACAATGAGAGGGAGAGAAACATCGATGTGAGAGCGATACATGGATTGGTTGCCTCTCACACATCCCGAACTGGGGACCTGGCCTGTGACCCATGTATCTGCCCTGACTGGGGATCGAACCAGCCACCTTTTGCAGGCCTGCACTCAGTCCACTGAGTCACACCAGCCAGGGCCAGATGGGAATTTAGTTTGTTGAATTAAGTTGAATAGCGTACCCCTCAAAATTCTTGTCCACCTAGAACCGCAGAATGTGACATTACTTGGAAATAGGGTTTTTACAATGTAATTAGTTGTGGTGAGGTCATATTACATTACGGTGGGCCTTTAGTCCAGTGAGTAGTGTCCTTATCAGAATTCAAGAAGACACACAGGGTCACACACAGAAAGAGCACGGCCATGTGACACCGAGTCAGAGACTGGAGTGACGCAGCTACAAGCCAAGGAACACAAGGATTGCCAGCAAGCGCCAGAGCCTGGAGAGAGACATGGAGCAGATTCTCCCTCAGGCCCTCAAAAGGGATCTGTCCAGACCTGACTTCAGACTTGAGGCCTTTTGGACTGTGAGAGAATAAATTTCTGTTGTTTCAAGCCCCTCAACTGCGCAGTCATTTCTTACAGCAGCCACAGGAGACAAATACAGTCAGTCCCCACACAGTGCTCTTGAAACAGCTGGCAAGGATCAGTGCTGGGGCAGAGGCACCAGTGTGGCTGGGGAGACACTGAATGGAACCCCCTGGACTAGAATGGAACTCTCTGTTCTCAGGGGCTTCTGCCAGTTATGGAGACCTTCTCGGCTCCTGTCCAAGACCAGTGCTTCAAGCTGGGGATCCTGGGGGACTCTCCAGTGGGAATGGAAGCCTGACCCAGGCCTTCCCACAGCTGTTCAGTTTTCGTTTTACTTTTCCAAATACCCTTTCTTCCACCCAAAAGTCCACTCAGCCCCAGGCAGACTGCTTGGTCCTTCCCACTCAGCTGCTGGACATGAAGCGTTTCCGTCTCCGTATATGTGGTACTTTCCGCCCCTCGGACGGTCAAGCCTTTCCAAATCCCTCAGCTGGAATCCCGGTGGAAACACTCCGGTCTGTCGTGCAGTCCGTTCTGTGTGTGCTCACCCCCCTCCCCAACCGAACACACTGTAAGTGGGGCCTAGATCTGCCCTCTGTACCTGGAACACAGAAGGTTCATGAAGGAGGGAGTGACTCTTGTAGCCACCTTCCTGACCACCCTGCAAAGCCAAACCTGGGGGACGGCTTGTGGGATTTTTTCCAGTGTTTTACTCCTTTCTCAGGTCTCCCAACACCCCAGCTCCTCACACACACAAAGGCTTCTCCTCAGATGCCCTCCCACCCCCTGGGAATCCAGCTCAGAAGAAAGCAGTGTCCACCTGGTTGAAGCCTCAAAAGATCATTCCCCCTCTATCGCTTGGAGGGGACCCCAAGGTGGCTGCACCTCACCCCTTGCCTAGGTTCTATTTCCAGAGTTGGACCATGAGGTCAGGGGCCTGCCACCCCACCCCAACAGGGTCCTTACCGTACATCTTGCCCTCATCTGACAGAATGATCTTGCGCCGGCCACAGGGTGGGTAGATGGCCAGGGCCTCCTGGAAGCTCTGCTCAATGTCCGGGCTCCACACCCCCTCCGCATCATTGTCGATGGGCTTGTCCAATGCCTGACTGCCCCCAGAGACGTTGCTCCCCTCAGGGGAGTTAGGAGAGCTCCACTCGTTGGAGGTAATGGTGCCGGCCGTGCCCTCCAAGGCTCCGCTTGGAGGAGCGCCTGTTGGACCTGTTTGGGCAGAAATCACAGCATTGGTGGAAGAACTATGTGGACCTTGGGATGGGGGTACCTAGGGAGTGCCAAGCCCCGGCCACTCACAGTGAACAGGCTTGGAAGGACACGGCCAGGGGGACAAAGAGTGATGTGAAAGGTCGAGGAGGACCAGAAGGCCTAGGACCCAAGACTGGTCACCTCCCCTCTGTACACCTCAGCTGCCTGCCTGTCTAATGAGCACAATGACCCGGGAACTCTCTGATCATAGCTCTAAGAACCCAGATAGGGCTGGGGAGTAGGAGACAAAGACAGTTTGGAATTAAATCAACCATGGACAAAAAGGATGCAAAACACTGTGTGTTGCTGGTGCGAATATAAAGTGGTAGAGCTGCTGTAGGAAACAATATGGAGCGTCCTCAAAAGATTAAAAAAAGAACTATCATGTGATCCAGCAATCCCACTTCTGGGTATATATCCAAAAGAATTGAAAACAGGGTCCTGAAGAGATATTTGCATACCCATGTTTACAGCAGCATTATTCACAATACCCAAGAGGTGGAAGCAACCCAAGTGTCTACAGACAAATCAACTGATGAACAAAATGTGTTATATTCATATAATAGACTATTATTCAGTCTTGAAAAGGAAGAAAATTCTGTCACGTGCCAGAACATGGATGAACCTTGAGGACATTGTGCTAAGTGAAATAAGCCAGCCACAAAAAGACAAATACTATTCCACTTATATGAAGTGCCTAGAGCAGTCAAATCCATAGAGACAGAAAGTAGCATGGCAGTTGCCAGGGGAGAGGAGGAAATGGGGAACTGGTGTTACTGTGTACAGAGTTTTAGTTTTGCAAGATGAAAAAGCTCTGGAGATTCGCTGAACAATGTGAATATACAGTTAATGCCACTGGGCAATACACTTAAAAATGGTTAAGACGATAAAATTTATAGGTTTTTTTAACCACAATTAAAATTTTAAGTTAAAAAAATATGCAACATAAAATGCAGCTCACCATTCTCTATTCCATCCCCAGCTTGGGCTCATTTTAAAAGGAAGCTTTTAGCCCTGGTAGATTCTCACACATTGGGGCTCTGGCAAGGTTGACTCCCTTGTGCCTCGAGAAGCTGACAACACAACCTTGTCTTTGCCACCAGCACGAGACAAATCCCGTGACCTCCTGGCACCAGCTGTCTAAGAGGTGAATTTCTGGACACAGTTCTCAGGAGTTTGGGAAAGAGCAGGACATACTACTAACTTTAAGGCAGTTTTTAGATGAGTACCAGGTGGATAGCATTGACTTCCTCGAGCCCCCTGCCACTGGGCGCCTCTGCCAAGGAGGATCTCCCCCCATCGCACACATCAGCCCCTTCCTTCTCCCCCATTAGCCATAAGGAACAGTGTAGCCCAGCAGCCCAAACCCAGGAGCAGGAGTCTAAACACCTGAGTCCAACCCACCTCCATCTCAGAGGGTCTGAGGTAAGACCTTCCCAGAGCATTCCGCACGCCTGAAGCCCCTCACCTATGACCCAGCCATGATAGAGGAACACAGTTCTCCACAGAGAGGTGGGTATGAGGGTCAGAGTGGTCACTGTGCAGTGAAGGCAAGGGAAGAGCTGGGTGTGTGTGTTGGGGGGCATCCTGGGAGAGAGTGGAGGATCCAAGGAGCTGAGTCAGACTGCTGGCACAGGCGTGCAGCCAGAAAGAGATTAAACCATTGAAATCTAAAGCAGAAAGCCCAGGGGGAACCTAGCCCAATCCCCTCAGCTTGCAAATGAGGACTCTAAGGCCCCGAAAGGCCTAAGGACTTGCCCATAGCCATACAGCAAGTCTAAAGAGCAGCTGGGTCTTGATATCTGCCCCCCGGTGTCCCAGGCCTTTTCGGATCATCAATCTTGGCCTTCTCTCTGTGGCTGTTAAAATAGCTTTTCCTCAAAGTGCATCTTAGGGGGTCACTTGACCTGGGAAAACCTAGTTTACTGTCCACCAGAAATTCTTTATTCTACTGTGAATGTTTAACCATTTTTCTGTACCTTCCAAACAAACTTCTTAGAAGAGTTGGAATTTAGACAGGACAAATAAAACAAATACACTTCTAAATGCACAACTAACTTCAGAAGAAAGTAAACCCCTAGAGGCCAAAATGAAAGAACTCTAAGCTATAGTAATAAGCAAATAAGCTGTTACTACAGTAGCTCTGGGAGGCAGGGCGTGAAGCTAATCTCAGTAATAAAGCCACTGGGTTTCAGTGGCTACTCAGACATGAGATATAGGCAGGTTGGAACTGGGAACTATACCTCAATCCCCTGAGAAAAGGTAGAATCCTGACAAAATACAACAGGGAAGATTGTCTGTCTTGGCTTAAGCTCTAGGTACAAAAAAAAGAATTGTCTTTCCTAAGAATTTGTAACAAAGGGCTTGCCCTTAAGTGGATTTGAGATTTGAATTTTTGTATAACTCAGGAACTCCCAGCCAATTTGCAAGATGAACAGTGGTCCTAGGCTGAAAAAAATCTCTGAAAAGACTATTTTAAGCCAGACTGCACAGAATTCCCAAAAGTAATGCTTTGCTAAAGAGGGTCTCAAAATCCAAAATTACTACATATAAAAAGAAACAATCTACCATGTTCAAGATTCAATAGGATTATAACCCCAAGAGCTACGGATAATTTATCAGATTAAAAACTATTATATAAACTGTTATGTATATTATAAATTATTTATATAAATAATTATTGACTTGAATGGGAAACATGAGAAAGATTTAAATATTATCAAAAATACAAAGACTGGAAAAAGAACAAAATAAAACACTTAAAAGTAACTATTTTGGTTACTGATATTAAAAACTCAATGATTTAGACTAACAGCAAATCAGATACTGCTGGAAAAAGAATTAACCTGGAAGACAGGTGTGAGTACGTTACTCAGAGATGTATTTTTTTAAATGATGATTAAAAAGCAAAGAGAACAAAAAAATACAGTTCAATACTCCTCCAATTAGCATTCCAGAAAGAGAGAATATAGAAAATGAAGAACAACATTTTAAATAATAATGGCAGGAAATTTTCCAGAATTAATGAAATACATGAATCCTCCAATTCAGGAACCATACTGCATCTTAACTAGAATAAATTTAAATAAAATAAGCACATATTACAGATATACTTTGGGAAACAAAAACAAAGAGATCTTAAAAGCATCCAGAGTGAAAAAGAACTAATTACTTACAAAGAAATAACTATTATATTGATCGTGTACATTGACCATGCTCATATTATTTCTCAACAGTTACAGGAGAAGACCCAAAATAACATCTCCAAATTGTTGAGGAAAAAAAATTAACCGTCAACCTAGACTTTTTTCCTTTTATTAAATTTATTGGGGTGACATTGTTAATAAAATGATATGTTTCAAGTGTACAATTCTATAACCCATTGTCTGTGCAGTGGATTGTGTGCTCACCACCCAAAGTTCAGTTTCCTTCTGTCACCAGATATTCGACCTCCTTTACCCTCTTTAACCTCCCTCCGCCCCCTTCCCTCTGGTAACCACCATACTGTTGTCTGTGTCAATAGTTCTTTTGTTTTGTTTTGATTATTCATCTGTTGCTTTCTGTTTTATCTCCCACGTATGAGTGACATTATATGTCAACCTAGAATTTAAAACCCAACCAAAATATTGTTCGAATGTGAATATTAAATAAAAGTATTTTCAGATAAAGATGGAGAGAATTTAATACTAACACTCACTGAAAAAAAAAAAAACAGTAAAGGAAGTATTTTAAAAGACAACATGGTACTAATATGAAAAAGAAGGCATTCCACACACGGAAGAGTGGTGAGCAAAGTAACTGGCAAAAATAAGAGTGAATCTAAACAACATTAACTATATACAAATATTAACGACAATGATAACAACTAAGTGTGGCACGTAATACATCCACCCGCACACGCAGAAAAACCATGTTTCTGAATCATAAGTTCAGAAGATGCCATTTAGTAAAATCTGATAAAATTCAAGACCTATTCACAATAAAAAACTCTTAGCAAACTATGAGAAACAAAAGGAACTTCTTTAATCCACCAAAAGGTATCTTCACTAAACTTACTGTGATACTGTAATTTATAATACAACTATATATTTGGCCTTCATCAGGGTTTCTAGCACGGAGCTCCTTTAATACTTGGAACTTCTTAAGTGATGAGAGGGACAGGGTTAGGCAACTTTTGGAAAGTAACTAAGGATGGGGGAGGGTGGTCAGGAGAATCAACCACGTGCTTAGAGGTTGGAATTTTCAGTCCCCCCTTTTACCCCCCCCCCCCCCCCAATCCACTGGGAAGGAGAGAGGAGCTGAAGGTGGAATCAATGACCTAAGCCCAATCTATGGCCAAGGATTTAACCAATCATGCCTAGGTGATAAAGCCTCCATAAAACCCCAAAAGGACAGCCCAGGGGGAGGGTGCGGGCAGCCAAGTGAGATGCAGCTGGGGCTTCCTCCTCCTCACCTTCCTCAGCCTGCTGGCAGCGCACCTCTGCAGTGGCCAAAAAAGACAGACAATCGAATTATAAAAACTTTTAAGAGAATTCAGCAAGATCAGTATCAAACCCAATTACATTCTTTTATACTTGAAATAAGGTATTAGACAATATAATTTTTAAAACTATCCCATTCAGAAACCAAACCCATAATTTATCTAGTGAGAAACATAACAACAGATGAGACCTTTACAGAGAAAACTGTAACTGTTTTGAAAGACAAAATACCTAAATGAATGAAGAGGAAATGGTATGTTCATAATTGGGAAAATATAAAGATGTTGAATCTCTACAAATAAAGCATAAACCCAATTAAGCTTTTCATGAAGTCCCACAAGATTTTTGCAAAACTAAGCTGATTCTCACAATCTACGTAAGACCCACTCTCTAGCTGTCTAGCTCAGTGGTCCCCACCCTCTTCATTAACAGGGACTGTTTCCCTGGGAAACAATTTTTCCACAGATTGGGGCAGGG